TCGGAAGATTGCTTGAGCCCAGCAGTTTGAGACCAGCCTGGCCAAAATGGTGAAACCCTGTCTCTACTAAGCATATAAAAATTAGCTGGGCATGGTGGTGCATGCCTGTGTTCTCAGCAACTTGGGAGACTGAGGCATGAGAACTGCTTGAACCTGGGAGGCAGAGGCTGCAGTGAGCCAAGATCATGCCACTGCACTCCAGCCTGGGCAACAGAGCAAGACTCTGTCTCAAAAAAAAAATTAGCCTTTCATGGTGGTGTGTGCCTGTGGTCCCTCAGGTGGATAAGGCAGGAGGATCGCTTGAGCTCATGCAGTCAAGGCTTTGATAAGCTATGATTGTCCCACTGCACTCCAACCTGGGTGACAGAGAGAGGCCCAGTCTCAAAAAATAAAAAAATAAAAAATAAATAACCAGAACAGTGCTTACCACTTGTTTTTGTTTCCTCATCTCTAAAACAGGGACAATAATGTCATGTAAATGCTTGCTCCTATAGACTAGCTCGATGACAACTCTAGATAGTGAGACAGAGACATCTGAGAGGGAGCCCTGTGTCTTCTACTTCTCCAGACCACGTGGTCTTTAGTAGTACAGCCTCTCCCAGGACTGTGGTGCTTTAGGGAACACTCATGTTGAAGTGGCCCATGCATGGAGGAGTCCATCATGAAGCATCAGAGCTCTTAGAGAATAGTGACTATCTTCCATTTTACTTTCCTCTGTCCATGGAGGCCAGATGGGCTCTCGGTGCTGCTCCAAGCTCATTACTTTGGCACCTCACCGTTTTCCCAAATCGTGCTTTATCCCGTCTTCCATCTTTGCTCTCTTTATACTGCCTTGCCTCCAGTCACCACTTGCCTTCTCTCTGCCAACACAGATTCCATCACAAGCATTTGGGCAATGAGTGAGCTCCAAGTTTTCCAAAGGTTGTTCTGGAGAATCCTGGTCCTGCCAGCTACAGGATACAAAAGATGGGTTCTACAGGCATTGAAGCTTGGAAAATGCTGGGTACTATATTTCTCAGCTCCCCAATAATTACACATGCACTTGCAAATTAAAAGGTCCAAAAAAGTTCTGCCATTCAGATCCCTGTTTTGCTCTGTGTTATTCAGATTTCCCAAACATATCTTGATGGTGAAAGAGCTTTCTTATAAAACAAGACTTCTCCAGAAAAATGGCCATGGAGCTGAGGTCTGGAGGGGTATAGGAGGAAAGCAGGAGAAGCGGGCAGGGGAGGAAACAGGAAAACAGGAGGACTGATCTGGCTGGAAAAAAAATCAGGAAGGACTAAATTTAAGATGTGAGGGCTGTGACAGCCTCCTGAGGGCTTTTGGCAAAAGCATGTAATATAGTTTAGCATTTATAGAGATCACTAGTTCTCACTTTATAAAGATCACTAACTCTCACTACCTGGTTTGATCTTTATTTTTTTATTGGAGACCTATAGTAAACAAAACATGTTGCATTATTACCTAACATCTATGCATACATAACAAACATTTCATAAAATGGCTCTTATTACATGCAATGCCCACTAATATTTTCTATTATTGTTTTCCTCCTTTGGGAAATCACTTTTAACAATCTATTTTCATCATCTAGGTAAGTAAAGATGAGGACCTGAATTGTATTTTAATGCAAATGTGTGGAGACCCCTGTCTTCTTCCTGATATTCTGTATGAATAGATGAGAATGCTCTGCTTCAAGACAAGCAGAAGAAACCATGTCTTCTTCCTCTGCTAAGGGGCAGTTACTCATTGAACCTCTGTGTATGGGTTCTCTTGTCTCTTGTCACAAGTAAAAGGTTGTAATATTATTGAGGGCAGAAAGCAAGTCTTAGATTTATTTTATTCACAAGGACAGTACTTGGCACATTGGTGGACATTTCATGCATGTATCAAACACACATTGATTGCACTGCATTGCACTAAATTGACAGCTCTTCACCCATTTCAGGGTGAACATCTCCTGCTCCTGTGCTTGCTGGCTGAGGAACTGACTTCCTGCATCACTGAAAGGAACCTCTGGACTTCCTGCTGCTTAATCCCATGTGGTCAAAACTCCCATTGGGTGAGGTCCATGGTGACAGTGTCCATATTCACATTCTTCTCCCTTTCTTCCCCCAAGGATCCCTCCTGTCATTCTATCCCTTCCAGAGCTATCATCTGCTCTCACTTCTGTGGTCTCCTTAAAAGGCAAGTGACAGAATGGGGCTCAATGTCCTCGGCCACTTCCTTCTTGCTGTCTCTGAAAACAAGGGGGTTAGCCTTTTTAGTTTAGAGCCTTCACTGCTAAACACCCAGAGGAACAGAGTAAGCAATAAACTATGAAGCAGAAGTATCACAAAAATGATTCTCAGAATCTCACATAATTTTCCTTTGCACCTATAGCAGTCTGTTGGTGACTTCCCCACTATACTTCCAGAGGGTGAATTTCACCAAGGTTCCCTTCCTCCCACCATTCCCTCTCTCCAGATTCCACTTCTTGCCTGGAGGTCTGAAGGCATAATTAATAGTTGAACAATTAATGAGTTAGTCACTATCCAAGGGTTTGACATCTCAAGTGGTCAGGGCATTCCAGAAAGGTGACTGTCTTTCAGTGTTTCTCTTCCTCTACACAGGAAATAAGTTACCTCAGGCTCTCCCTCAAAGTTACTCATACACAACATTTTCTTTAAAAATCCTGAAAGAAAACTGAAGCTTACTCCACAATATTTCTTACTTTCATCTATTCACTCAGACAGTATAGATGGGTAACTCCAGTTGCTAGTCTGAAAAATCTAGGACATTAGGGCTAGTATTGGTCAAATGCCATGATGGCTATTTCTAGAAGCAAAAGGTATAGTCCAGGGAGAACGAAAAGAGCTCCCCAGTTCCCAGAGGGGAGCTGCCCAGCTCTAAGTGGCATGTGCATTTGACTAACCCAATCTGCTCACCCCCAGCACTGTTGCCTTCTTTAGAGTTCATACACTCAAGACTCCCTGTCAGAAGCCACTGGATTGTAAATAAAGTTCATTTGCCCCTGCCTGGGGTGTTGGCAAACAGCTGCCCGCACAGCGATGACAGTCCTTGTCTGCTTCTGGTGGAAACACAGCTGGTTTTCCTTTTCTTCCTTCCGCTTCTCTGTATATCTAATTTTTCTACCAAAAAAAGTCACATATTATTTTGTAATAAGAAATAAAATCACATTTCTTGCCGTTCAGAAGGAAGTGTCTCCCACTGCGTGCATATGCGTCACACACAGTGTCATTCTATTGTTTATATTGAAAATATGATGTTTCTTTGTTTGTTTATTTTTGAAAGGGGAAATCTATGAGAAAGACCATAGCCTGGGTTTTGGCAATGCAGAGTCAGAGCCGAAGGGAGGTAGGCTAAGGGTATAAACATACAGTTAGGCAAAGGGATAAGCTCTATTGTTTGACATCAGAGGAAAGTGACCATGGTTAGTGATAATGTATTACAGATTTCAAGGTAGCTAGAAGAGAGGACTTAAATTGATCCCAACACATAGAAATGATATTCAGTGATGGATACCCCCAAATACCCTGGCTTTATCTCTGTACATTGTACACATGTAACAAAATATCACAGGTACCCCAAAAATTTGTAAAATAATATGTATAAATAAAAAACAAAATCTTAACTCTTCCTGTTATGCTGAGATGACCTTGCAAAACTCTGAGCAGAAACGTCCTCACCTGTGAAGGGGATGTGATACCTTCTTCACAGAAGGGTGAGGAACATTTAAGGTGCTCATTTGTGCTTGGAATATTATGCATGGCTCAATAAACATTTGCTGTTTTTCTGCTTTCTTTCTCATCCTGACCCTGAGATTTCTAAGCATCTTTATTAGCAACCAGTACTCATTTCGTAGAAATTTTAGAAGGAGGCTCATCATTTATCCAGTCTGACTTCTCTGGAATCCTTCCCACAGCTTCTCTTTCCAAGGGCCTCTGAGCCTTGGCAGAGCCCTGCCCCCAGCTTCCTGGTGAGCAGATGGCTTGTTCCGCAGTACGACAGGCCTCACTATGGTAATAATGTCACTTGCTTTTTATTTTGCCAAAATTCGACTCCCTAAAATATTTGACATATTTTAACCTCTAGATTCTCAATGAAGAACTAGTAAGACTTCCTGTTCCACCTCTTAATCCTTCAGCTGTTATGTAATACCAGTACCATGCAGGGCCATCGCATAACGTAGGGCTTGGTGCAGGCGTGACAGAGACCTTCTTATGTGACACAGAGCAAATGAATAATGAATCATGACGCTGGCAGTTGGCAAACTTTCCAGTAGGGGTGTGTTTTACTGCCTGCCACACTCTGTAATTGCTCTTCCAACTGTGTCTTCTCCCCGTCAACTCACTAGGACATTCTCTCTCCCTTTCTACCCAATGCCCCTTAGCCTTAGTGAATGATGGTTCCTTTATTCCTATATGGAAGACACAGCTGAAAAAAGGTGATTAGAAAAACTGTTTTTGCTAATTCCATCACATCGTGTAGGGAAAAGATAGGACTTAATTACTTAATTGAGTAACAAGTAGAGAAATACAGCAATCAGACAATAAAATGAACAGTTACTTTTTTCCTTAAAAAAAATTCTTGTTCACTGGGGAAAAGGAAAAAAAAAAAAAAAAGAACAGAAGAAAAAAAAATTCTTGTAAGTCTGAGCTTAATGTTACACAACTAGACCATCAAATTATTTTCATGTTGAGGAAAACAGAAGCTCTCTTGTATAACCCTGCATTCCAGGCTTTCAGTGGAAAAGACAAGACATGCACTGTACACCATTAAGTACTTGGAGACATGATTTTAACCAGGATGTAACTCAATTATATTAGTGATTTATAAAGAGTCTGGGGAAAATATTTCTTTATTTGGGCATGGGCACTGTCAGATTAAGGGTGCAGTGGCTCTAAATGCTATTTGTTCCAGCCCTGTCTTCGATTGCAACAATGTGAGTGTCGTGTCTGTGCTGGTGGATTATTAACAAAGGTTATTGGTCTCCATGGCAAAATGATTGAATGATTGCTCTGAACGTAATCTCATTAATGGGGGTGCAAAAAAAAAAAAAAAAAAAAGCACTTCCCAGGTCAGGGAGAATGTATAAATGTCCATTGCCATCAAGGTTCTGCTATTTTTGAAAAGCTGACGCGACTCCAAGGACACAGTTCACAGAAATTTGGTTCTCAGCCCCAAAATACTGATTGAATTGGGGACAATTCCAAGGACTCTCTGGCCAAAACCCGTGAAGAGGCCCCAAGAAGAAAGCAGTGAGGAGCTTTTGATTGCTGACCTGTATCATACCACCCCAGCATGTGCACTGGGGGCTGTGCCAGATGCCTGGGGGGCACCCTCATTCCCCTTGCTTTATTTGGCTTCCTGGCTAACATCCTGTTATTTTTTCCTGGAGGAAAAGTGATAGATGACAACGACCACCTTTCCCAAGAGATCTGGTTTTTTGGAGGAATATTAGGAAACGGTGTCTTGGTGAGTAGGAAAGCCTTAAAATCCCCCCTAAGGGAGATTTCCCCTTCTCCCAGGCCCTTTTTAAATCAGGTACCTATTGGGGAGATATTTAGTTGGTAACAGAAGCCCAAACATTGCATGATGAGAGGTCAATGCCTTAATTTATTTCTCCTTTCTGTTAGGAGCTGACAAGGACACGTCAACTAAATTTACTAAGTAATTAATCTCCAAGCTTGGGCTGGCAGTTCTCATGTGTCATTTGAGTCCATGAACTGAAGTGAAGGCCACATAATTTCTTGATTCCAACAAGATAGTGCACAAAACAACAAGGCTGCAATGCTTTCTAGCAAATTGATTGACTTAAAACCACCAAGAGAAGCAGTTGTCAATGCAGTCCTCTTCCACTTAGGACCTAATGATTTCTTTACCAATAGAATCGGGAACCTCCAGTTGAGAGAGAGAAAGGGAGAGAGACTCATTTTTCATGACAATTGAGGACAGTTCAATGTCATGACAGCTGAAGTTTCTTACTCTTTTTCCTAACACATGATCTGAATGGAAACTCAGATCTTGAAATCTTGCCTCATTGAAGCTGGTTAGTCAGGCCAAATGGAACCTAAGCACTCCGTAACACTCCATCATCCCTTCAGCCATGCTCTGTTACTTTGCCATTCCCTTTGGGCCTCCAGGTCCCTCATTATGGATGGGGCTTCTTATAAAGTCAGGCAGGCTTAGGCCCTCCCTTCAGCTCCTGGACTCTCTCTGAGGTGCTTCTCTTGCTGGTAGATGATCTTCCCGGCACTGGTGTTCTTGGGCCTGAAGAACAATGACTGCTGTGGGTGCTGCGGCAACCAGGGCTGCGGGAAGCGGTTTGCGGTGAGTTACCATGGGGGGCAGCTACTAGAATTACTCCAGCATGCTCTTTCTGTGCTGGGCAGCATGGGGGTGGAGACAAGTTATCAGCTCCAGTCAGGACTCTGAGAGCAGCTGGTGAAGAGATAAAACTGTGATTCTTCCTGCCAATGTGAGAAATAATAAGAATTTTCCAAAATGTCATAGCCCTCATACTTATAGGATATGAATACTGTATTAGGTTTTACAAAGTGAGGGGATGTCAGAGCTGGAGATTCAGACGGGTGCCATATACAGATGCAAGCCTGGAAGGCGGAGATGGGGCTATAGCATTTCTCTGCCACTGAGAGGCCATAAGAACTTGGACAAGCCATTTCTCTTCTCTGGCCCTGAATTGCCTCATCTGTAAAGGGAACTTGGGATAGGATAAAAGATGGTATCCTCCCCTCCCAGTAGCCTTCTAGGTTCCTCACCTACACCACTTCCCTGTTCTCTATCTCTGAGGCTCAGCACCTCCCGGCTTCCACTGGGCTCACCTCAGGACTTCTGTTTCCTCTCTTGTTTCATGCGGTCATCCATCTTTTAGTAGGCGAAGTTACTAGAGACGTTAGGAATCAAAGTTCCAGGGTGCAGTGGAAAGAATACTGGTCCATGAGGACAAGTCCCATTTTACAACTGAGCAAGTCATTGTACTGCTTTGCCTACCTTTGCTCATGTGTAAAGCAGGAAGCTGGACTAGACTGGAATTTCTCAAATATGGGACAAGCTCTGGTAGTACACAGATGTGCTATATCTTTCAACAACATAGAATGTTATTCCCATTCAATTTTCCCTCAATCCTTTTGATTCTATCAAGAAAAAGATCATATTTTGATAGGCATAAATCTTTATTTTTATTTTATTTTATTTTATTTCATTGAGGCAGGGTCTCACTCTGTTTGCCCAGGGTAAATCTTGGCTCACAACAGACTTGACTTTCCAGGCTCAAGTGATTCTCCCACCTCAACCTCCCAAGTAGCTGGGAGTACAAGTGCACCACCCTACCTAGCTAATTTTTTGTATTTTTAGTAGAGACAGAGTTTTGGCATGTTTCCTAAGCTGGTCTCAAACTCCTGGACTCAAGCAATCCACCTGCCTGAGCCTCCCAAAGTGCTGGGATTACAGATGTGAGCCACCATGCCCAGTCGTCTTTACTATTTTTTTTACCATTCATAATCTCCCTTTCTAACAAAGAGAGGACAAGTTTTAGGCTCCAGGAATGAATGCAACATTATTTAACTAAAATGCAATAATATTGTTTCTATCTGCTAATTATTCTAATTTTTTATCCACGTAGTGATATAAATGACTAAAATGAGAGTTGATGAAAAATATTAAGAGTTAGATATATTGATGAGGCAGAAATGCAGCATTGTAGAACTGGAATTATTGGACTGAAGGATGAGGAAGGCCAGTTTCTCCTGCAATCTCCAATGGTTTACTTGTCCACTTAAAAGATTCATGAACAGCAATAGTTAACCACATTTACTTTAACTTCTTCAAGGGAAAGTTGCACCTATCTGTTCTTAAACAGGATCCTTTTAACATTTCTTTCTTACCATTATTTGTTCATTTATTCGATCAAAAAATATTGAGCACATGTGAAGGACTGAGGCTGGTGCAATGTGCATACATTACAGATTCCATGTGAGTTCAAAGGTCAGTCAAAGATAATATAACAACATGAGTCCCAAATAAGTATTGGTAATTGTTATGTTAACATTTAAAATCATCATTTACAAAGAGATGTTTTAAAAAAACCCACAATTTAATATAATCATAAAATATACGTTTTATATAACAAAGGATATTTTATGTAATTATAAAGGAAAAGAAGATATGTATAAGTTATTTTTCCCTTACATTATAATCCTATTATACCTTGTGAACTTTTGGGGGATAAAAGTTGGAGATGAGGATTTTTTTTTTTAATTAGCAATTAAGAAATTGGATGAAAAGAAAGAAGAGTCATTTCTTTTGGAAATCTGACATTTCATACCTCGTGCTGAGTTAAAGGCTAAAGACTGGCTAGTATAAAATAAGGGGACTTTTGTTTGCTTGATTTTTGTTTTTAGATTTACATATAACCACAGTGAGAAGTGAAATAGCATTCTAAGTTTTACACAAAACTTGGTTTTTAAAATTAGACATAAATGAAGTCCAAGATGAAGGCAAAAAAATTGTTTTTGTTGATGTTGTTTTTGAGACAGAGTTTCACTCTTATCGCACAGGCTGAAGTGCAATGGCACGATCTCCGCTCACTGCAACCTTTGCCTCCTGGGTTCAAGCAATTCTCCTGCCTCAGCCTCCTAAGTAGCTGGGATCACAGGCATGTGCCACCACGCCAGGCTAATTTTGTATTTTTAGTAGAGATGGGGTTTCCCCATGTTGGTCAGACTGGTCTCCAACTCCTGACCTCAGGTGATCCACCCGCCTCAGCCTCCCAAAGTGCTGGGATTACAGGCATGAGCCACCATGCCCAGCTGAAAAAATAGTTTTTATAAGCACGTTTCATTAAAAAAAAGTTTGGGTCAATAGGATCTGAAATATTTGGTCTTCCCAATACAATTTTTGTCAGTGGGGGCTGTCTAAGCCTCATGTAGAACAGGCCTTTGGCATGAGTTGAGAATAACTTCTCCAAATGACCAACTGACCATCCAAATGATGAAGCAGTATACATCAAAGGACTGCTGTGCCAGACTGTAAACCAAGGCACCTAGCAAGGCTGCCCCGGGCCAAGGCTGACCACATTCTGGAGAGCCAGCAGAAGGATTTCTTGTTTTTGATTTCTTTGTTTTTAATCAGCTGCCAATTTTTAAGAATTCAGAGATAGAACATAAAGAATCTAAATATCTGACTTTTTTCCCCAAGAAATAAAATATTAATCTGGCACCCTTAGGCTTGCATTTTGGCACAAGCAGCCAGGGTGGGCCCTGTGGAGCTCAGCACTGGGCCTGGCTGAGCTGCACAGGGCCCATCCTGGCTGCTCCAATCAGTTAGGGTCCCTGCCCTGCCCTTAAGGCCACTGAGCGCATGCCCCTGCTTCAGACTCTTGTTTCCTTGATGTTATGTTCTGAGGCTTTGGAGCATCAAGCAATAATAATTTCTTTCTTTTCTTTTGTCTTTTTTTTTTGAGATGGTTGGGGATCTCGCTATGTTGCCCAGGTTGGTCCCAAACTTCTGGAACTCCTGAACTCGAGCAATCCTCCCCGCTAAACGTCCTGAGTACCTGGGGCTACAGGTGCTTACCACCTACCTGACTGATCATTTTTCCAAAATGAGGTATTTGCATTTTGTCAGACAAAAAGCAAAAACTACAGCCTAATTTGGAGAGAACTATACTGTTGAAGTGCTGAATTATTTTCCAAAGGCTCATGGCATTCCCCCTCCAGGTTCCAGGTGCTTCAGGGATGCGGGGCTTCTGTGGAGCACTGCACAGGAAGCCTTGCAGGTGGAAAGGCGTGTGAGGCAGACACAGACTGGGCCACCAGCTACTGGGCTGAATCCTCTGCCCTCTCTACAGCCTGCTCTCTGTCATTTATTTTCCTGGCTCCTCTCTCTCCTCTTATCTTCATTATATCTTTCTGGAACATTCCCCAGAAGCTAACTGCACCATTCACTCCTCTTTCCTTGGGTAGCAAAACCAAGAAGTAAGAGATGGGAGAAGCAGGATGTGGTGGCTGCAGAGATAAAGCAAGACAATGAGCTGGAAAGAATCTTGGATCACCTGATTCATGGTTTCTTGGTAAACCCAAGACCCCCAGTGGCTTCTCGGCAGCATGGCAGTGGCTGGTCAGCATCTCTGCCCTCTAATCCTTCTAAAAATTGGATCTCTCAGGGCCTAGTAGTCCAGCAAATTAATTTTGTTAACTTATGTTAAGTACGTGTTTTATTAAGAGCCTTTTGTAAATCTTGGATTTGACTCAAAGGAGTATCTTTAATAATGAGACCAAAGGCAGATTGATGAGGATACGTGTTGGATAGGCAGGCGTTTCACCATCCTTAAAGCATATTAGATAGATCAAGGCCCACCCCACCCATAAGCAGGGCCAGATGATCAATCTCCCTCTTTTGAAGAAAGGTCTTGGTCATGTCCTAATGCAGTCTGTGTGCTGTGGGCCCCACTTCTTCCCGTGCCTGGCTCACTAGTGCCCCCTAGAGAACATTTCTGGGGACTCCCTCTTGCAGAGGTCCTGCAGGCCAAAAGCATCCCTAAATTACCTCCTTATTCCTTGGAATGACAGCCAGTTTGAGGAAGATTTAAGAAAGACAATTCCTTTAGAGAAATGGAATATATTGAAAGAAAAATTAAATGTTTTCTTCAGCAAATAGTTTCTTTTTGTTTGTTTTTGAGATGGAGGCTCACACTGTTGCCCAGGCTGGCGTGTAGTGGCATGATCTCGGCTCACTGCAACCTCCGCCTCCTGGGTTCAAGCGATTCTTCTGCCTCAGCTTCCTGAGTAGCTAGGATTCCAGGCATCCACCATCAAGCCCGCCTAATTTTTTGTACTTTTAGTAGAGACGGGGTTTCACTATCTTGGCCAGGCTGGTCTCGAACTCCTGACCTCATGATCTGCCCACCTCAGCCTCCCAAAGTCCTGGTATTGCAGGCATGAGCCACTGTGCCCAGCATTTTCAGTAAATATTTTCTATGCTTCAAAATCCTCTGCTACAAAACGGATCGTGGCAGTTACTACCTCTCATACAGATGTTGTGAGTTCTAGGGGAAGATTTTGCAAGCATTGGTGTAAGGGAAGAGGAAGGAAGTACCAACTAAGTACCTAGGGTATGGAAGACACATAGATCCTCAAAAACCACTTACTGGATGAATGAAGTAAGTGAACATCTAGGCGGGAAAATGGGCTTTCCATATTTATCAGGCTCAACCCTTACAACAACCCTCTGAGTTTGGCATTGAACTCCTCATTTTACAAATGAGGAAACTGGGGCTTCTGCAAGTTAAGTTTCTGACTGCCACTACCCCC